CTCAGTCAGGGACGGCGACCACTCGCCGAATACATCGAGGAGTTTCAACAATTGGTTATGCAACTGCCAGATTTGTCGGAGGATATAAAAGTTCACCGTTTTAGGAGTGGCCTCTATATGAGACGCTGGCAGACGGAATTCGCCATACGAAATCCCGAAACGGTCACATCGGCGATTGAATTAGCAATGTATCTGGAAACAGTATGGCCAACAATTAGTAATACGCCCACTAGAACGGTTTACCCACCACCTCGTCCGATACCGGTTATGCAACAGCAAGGCCCCCAACCAATGGAACTAGACGCAATCGCATTCCACGTTGGGCCAAATGACTGTTACAATTGCGGACAACAAGGGCATCGTCGTTTCGAATGCACCAATCAGCCGAGATGTTACAATTGTGGCCGTAACGGCCATATTGGACGTACCTGTCGCCAGCCTCGGAGAGACGCGCGCCGTGCCGCTGTCCCACCTCAAGCAACGATACGCCATAGGCCTAATCAACCACATACTAATCACCGTGCACGCCTAAACAACGTAGAAGTCGACACACACGCTACGAACGACAACGTTGCGGAAATCGACAACGAGGATTTTACCAACGACCAGTAGACACCGGTAATCTACTGGTCTGCACCAGCACTCCACCGGACTTCCCTCTCCTCTCTACCACCGCCCTATTGAATCGTAACTCTGTCGTTAATTCCTTCACTTCTACTTACCCTCTAGTTACAATACCTTGTACAATCAATAATGTAGCGGTACGCGCGCTAATCGATTGTGGCGCTACTAATAATTTTATTGACCCCCTCGTAATGCAACGCTCTCTCACTTCTTATACATCATACAATTCCAAAGGTCCTAAGGTACGGTTAGGAGACGGATCAGTTCGCTCGGTCGCTGGATATGCATCTAACATCACAGTCGAAATTAAAGATACTATTTTAAAACTAGACTTTGAAGTAATGACGTTAGGACATTATGATGTAATATTCGGTATGCCGTGGCTTACGAAATATGACCCTGATATCGATTGGAAAAATGGTACGTTGCGCTGTTTCCGTCAAGGCTTGGCCACACTCGACACTCTGCCAGCCACACTAGACGTGAAATTACTATCGTCACACGCTACACTACCTTCACGAAATTCAAATCAAGCGGCAGGATACGATCTACACGCAGCGGAAGACGTCACAATACCACCTGGTAAATCTAGGACAATACCCACCAACCTAGCGTTGAGACCACCAAGTGGAACATACGTAAGAATCGCACCGCGTTCTGGATTAGCAGTGAAACATTCCATTGACGTACTAGCGGGAGTGATAGACCCAGATTACCGTGGCGAAGTTAAAGGCGTGTTAATTAATCATGGTGAAGAGGAAATCCACATCAAGAAAGGTGAACGCTTTGCCCAAGCCATATGTGAAGAACACAAGACACCAGTGATACAACAAGTGGAGGAACTCGACGAAACACAACGCGGCACTGCAGGTTTCGGCTCAACCGGCATGAGAAACAACAACACACCAGTCATGTCAAGTGAAACAAGTGTGAAACAACATATCGAACTACGCACGATCGAAGGAGAGACATTTGACGTAGAGAATGAAACTACACTCCTGCTGTTTGTGACCGAAACTACGTCGTCACCACCATTAAGATCTAAAACAGCCGATCAACTCATGGGCGATCTAATAGAAGAATACGGAGATGTGTTTCCAGAAGACTTACCTGCAGGATTACCACCACCGCGTGCAGTCGATTTCGCCATTGATATTATACCAGGATCGACGCCTCCCTCACGACCACCTTATCGATTGACACAAGATGAATTAGAGGAATTAAAGAAGCAACTAGACGACCTATTAGACAAAGGCTTTATACAACCAAGCGTCTCACCTTACGGTGCACCAGTACTATTCGTCAAGAAGAAGGATGGATCCTCTCGTATGTGTGTCGATTACCGTATGTTGAATGACATCACGATCAAGAACAAGTACGCGTTACCATATATCGACGATCTGTTTAGACAGTTACACGGTGCTACTATATTCAGTAAGATCGATCTACGGTCAGGTTATCATCAAGTGAGAATCAAAGAGGAACACGTCGAACGCACCGCTTTTCGCACTCGCTATGGCCACTATGAATTTCGCGTATTACCATTCGGTCTTACCAACGCACCGGCAACCTTTATGCGACTAATGAACGATGTACTACGACCACTACTAGATAAATGCTGCGTCGTATTCCTAGACGACATACTCATCTACAGCAAATCAGAGGAAGAGCATCGACAACATGTACAACAAGTACTACAGTTACTACGCGATAACGCATTATACGCTAAACATAGCAAATGTACCTTCGGTGCGAAACAAGTGGAGTTTCTCGGTCACATAGTAAGCGGCGAAGGGATTCACATGTGTCACGACAAGCTAGCCGCCATTCGTAATTGGCCAATACCTAAGAAGATACAAGACGTGAGAAGCTTCCTAGGATTAACGGGATATTACCGTCACTTTATATACAACTACTCCAAGATCGCACAGCCACTTACTAACCTCACCAAGTTGAATACACCTTTCGTAATGGAAGGCGCACCAACAACGGCGTTCGAGGAACTGAAGAAGAGAATGATGGAAGCACCAGTATTAATGATACCCGATCCAAAGAAGCCTTTCATCGTTACAACCGACGCTTCAGATTTTGCTATCGGTGCAGTGCTCGAACAGGCCGATGGTAAGAAGGCACGACCGTGCGCATACCTGTCACGTACGTTAACCGCTGCTGAACGGAAATGGCCTGTATACGACAAGGAACTGTATGCCATTATGGAAGCTCTTCGGGTATGGGATATCTGGTTAAGAAGTATCAAATTCGACATATACACAGATCATCAACCACTGCGATATCTCCGTAAGCAAACTAGCCTTCCGAAGCGGCAATCGAACTACTTAGACGCGTTAGCTAGTTACGACTTTGACATACATTACAAACCTGGACGCAAGAATGTAGTAGCAGATGCGTTATCACGGCAAACGATCGGAGAAGCCGAACTAGCCAATATATCATCGATAGTACCGGAAGGGAGATTGTTAAGGAGCATTCGGGAAGGATATATACACGACACGTTCTTCAGTCAAGTCTTAAAAGCAATCACGGATGAAGAAACGACACCCACAAGATCACACAAGTGGAAACGACAATTTAGACGAGTAGCAGAAGACGGATTGATATATGAAATGAGGTCTGACATTCCACGTCTGTGTATACCAAAAGTTGACAACTTACGCGTCAACATCATTCGAGAGAATCACGACGCACCAACAGCAGGACACTATGGAGTAGAACGCACGGTATCAAGCATCAAGCGATATTATTGGTGGCCTACGTTACGTTCGGATGTATTACGATATATATCATCATGCGATGCCTGTCAACGTAACAAACCTCGCAACCAACTACCAATAGGATTACTACAACCATTACAAGTACCTGAACGTCGTTGGCAAGAGATTTCGATGGATCTGATCGTGAAATTACCAAGGACACCGCGTAATGTCGATGCTATCTTCGTAGTAGTAGACCGTTTAACGAAACGCGCTCATTTCATAGCTACACAGACTAGTGCTTCCGCTCGTGATTTAGCCCGTTTATTCATAGACAACATATTCAAACTACACGGTATACCGGAGCGCATTATATCGGATCGTGATGCACGCTTTATGTCGAGATTTTGGAAATCAACATTCGAACTACTTGGTACGCAACTACGCCCGTCGTCAGCATATCACCCACAAACGGACGGTCAAACGGAGCGCACGAATCGCACCCTAGAAACGATGATACGGCATTACGTTAACTTTACACAAGATGACTGGGATGAATGGCTGTCAATACTCGAATTTGCTTACAATAATGCGGAACAGGAATCAATACGAATGACTCCATTCTTTTGCGACACCGGAAGACACCCCAGACGTCCAGATGCACTTGCCCGATCATTCGACATACGAGGAGCAACAGATGTAGCGGCAACCGAAGAATTCATAGGACGAATGCGTGCATTAGCGTTAGAAGCACAAACGGCGATATCAGATGCTCAAGCAAAGCAGAAGTATTACGCTGACCAACGTAGACGCCTCGAAGAATTCAAGGTTAATGATATGGTATGGCTATCGGCAGCAAACATCAACACCGCAGCCAGCAAAGAACAACCAACACGAAAGTTCAACGCGCTCTACTATGGACCATTTAAGGTTGTCAAGAAGATCTCCGCCGTCTCTTACGAACTTAAATTACCTGATCATTGGCGTATCCACAACGTATTTCACATATCTCTATTAAAGAAGTACGTACCCGAACCTAGCGACATGCGAGGACGCGCGCCAAGTCGACCCGATCCAATAATCGTCAACAATGAGGAAGAGTATGAGGTGGAAACAATATTGAAATCGCGAGGTACCGGCCGCAACCAGAAATTCCTAGTTAAATGGAAAGGATGGGACTACGACGAAGCAACCTGGCTAACGCGCGACGACTTACGCAACGCCCCCGACATCCTACGACGATTCGAAAATAAAGAGTCGAGGTCGACTCGTTCTATAAGGGGGAAGGTGCAACAAGTAGACACACAAAACCGTACATAATCGCAGCGTAATAAGTATAAGCTAATAACCTCTCACGGCAATTAACTATTGCCAATTGCGGTTACTACTATCATTACTACATTATAATTTTGTTCAAATATTTTATTATAAATAAAGAAAGCCTCCGCCATAACAGCGGGAAGGGCATCATTCATACTCTAATCCTTATTGTCTAAGTAGCAGTAGCTTTCACTTGTTACATGATACATATCACTTGTACGCTGTCATTTGCTTCATTTCTGACGATGTATTATATAAAAAAATCAACGCGCGCGGCCGCCCAAAAATTGGGGCATATAAGAAGAGGCGGAACGGGACCATTTTAATTGTCAAATTTTTATCGGCGGCTTGGTGGTCTAGTGGTATGATTCTCGCTTTGGGTGCGAGAGGTCCCGGGTTCAATTCCCGGCCAAGCCCAACCGTACTTTTTTGCTTTTGCTACGTAGTAGACGAGTGACCAAATAGGCAAGTACTTTTTGTAGGAATTACGCGCATTGTAAAGTGTTTATTTTTTAGTTTTAAATAATAAATGTGCGCTCACTGTGACGCCTCTCACCCATTTCATCGAAGATCATGATGATACTACTAGCTAGTATCATCATCGGCATCACCAGTCACATTATTATTATCTCTATCATTAACTTCAGTATTCTCATTATCAACACTATCATTAACACTACTAACGTTGCCATATTTATCTTACTCAACATCACCTCCCTCCTACCGATTAAGCGCTTCTTACTCGAGGAGAAGTCTCTTTTAATACAGAGAACGTAGCAGAGCTACGTTCATGGAGCGGTGTATGTTGCGTATATAAACTAACGACGTTACACATATCAATAAACATTAATTGACCTTTTCCTTGACACTTCTGACTATTCGTAACTTGCTTTATTGTTTGAGTTCGTGTAGTTTGTGTCATAAGGTTCTCTCGCACGATCTCGTTCTACGTAAGACCTCACTCGTCGCTTTGTCCCTTATTTCTATTCTACTTGCGTGAGCGTCTTATACTAATAAGACCTCACTTATCGCTTTATACCTCCCTTTCCACCCTCCTAGTGTGAACGTCTTACATTTGGCGAGCACACCAGGACGGGATACTCACCCTTCCCGTCCTGCACCGTACCCCTCCTGATCACGCAAACGACATCGTCGAGAGCAACCAGAATTTCCGCACTACTAACCGCCTCCCCCTTCGCCTCCCGATTTTTCGCTATCGCAAAAGTTTTTGCTTTTTCATAATCAAGTTCTTCCTTGACAAACAAAATTAATTAATTTATCACTTACATATCGTCATAGCTCGATAAAATACCACCATGTCAGACACAAGCTCGACGCTCTCTGACGACACGATGACGACAACGCGCGGGTTGGCTGCCGTTTTTGGTACTAACAACGAAGACGTCGAGCCACGTGCAAGATCGACTTCGCCAAACGATCGAACACGAGCTTTGCCCGAAATACCTCAAGAACTCATGCAATCGTTTATGCGGCAAATCCGAGAGTACCTCTACAATCAAGATAACGAGACCCGAGTTGTGCCGATAGAAGCAGACCCCCAACACGTGCCACGAGCATGCTATAATCGGTACCGATCAGATTTCGACAAGGCGATCATTCCATTTACGGGCTCATCATCGAAGGAAGACCCATTCAAGTGGCTGTTCGAGTACTTCCAAGCGGCCATTCGTCGGAACGGCTGGACGCAAGAACAGTGTCTGGATAATATCGATAGCTATCTTACCGATGCCGCACTCGCCTGGTGGGATTACATCCGGCCAACCATTACCCGTTGGACAGGTGGTAATCGCCAGAATGGATTCGCCCCCGGCACGTTCACGCACGCGTTCGTCAAGCGTTTCATTACACCTGAGATGAAGGCCCACTGGAACGCGGAGCTACAAGTATGCAAGCAAAGGCCCGGAGAAGACGTAGCCGGCTTTGCAAGCAGATTACGAGGCCTCAAGAAACGTGTGGAGCTATCCCGACAAGTAACGGACAACGAACTTAGTAACCTTCTGCAACAAGGTCTACCACTACAGATCCGGAACGCACTCAGCGCCATGGAAATCCAACAACGTACCTGGCATCCGGAGACGTACCTTCGTTTCGAGTTACGCGTCGAGCTAGCCCAGAATTTCGAATTCCAGCTGAGAGCCAATGGAGACGTGGACGCAGTCAAGATCCCTGGTGAAGTGGTTACGACGGAAACCGGAGACGAGGTCAAGGTCGTAGCATCGCAGTTTATGCCGTCGCTTACGTCGGAGGTCCCTGAAGATAAACAAGTCCACAAGGTCATCCCGGAGAAGAAAACGTCCTCCTCGAAGAAGCCCGAGTCCGACAAGTCGATCGATGAACTGACGAAGCAAATGAGCCAACTTCGAATCCTCCTAGCCAAACAACAACGGTTAGCTGAGGTCAAGAAACCGAGAAGTTGCCCTCATTGCGACTCCACCGACCGTAATCACCGCTGGAACACCTGTGAACGTCGACAAGTACAAGAAGGCTACTTCGGCAATACGTACCTGGACCGCGAAGCTTGGAGTTCGGCAATCGACCGTGAGAACGTAGATTACTGGCACCGGAACCAACAATACGAGTTCGAGGAACCCGAGGAACCTTCCGACGACGATCTATCGACATTACAGGAGCCGGACGACGCCAGCGACGAAGATGACGAGATCGAACAACAGAACGTAGACGAGATGTTCGACAAGATCGCCGAGATGCTCGCCGTCGAGAAGAGAAAGTTGTTAGACGAGGATGAAGACGACGACGACGACGACGACAGCAACAAGAAGAGGAAAGAAGGACACGAACCTAACGTAGACACGATCGTACCACGACTGCTCGCTCGCCCTGTTACTCGTAAGCCAGTGGTAGAACCGAAGGTGAATGTAAAAAAGCCTACGACTCGAACACGAACGGCTAGGGGAAAGAAGGCAGAAGAAGAGGTAACGAGTGTCGAGAAGAAACGTGTTACCCCAACGACCGATGGACCAAAAAGCAGATGGACCCCCGCTCAGGCTCGACAGTTGATGGCGTTATTGGCGCAAGCCCCCACTGCCAAAGGACAACAAGTTCTCGCCCCAGCGGTAGAAATGGCAAATTCTCAAATCACCATCGCGCTCGGAGATTTGGCTCGACTAATTCAGGCTCAACAACCGAAGAACGAGACGGTGGACAACAATGGCCGTACCAACAAGGCAAGAGTGGTCGAAGTATTAGTGGGTGATCGATTCGACACGCAAGCCTTACGTACCTACGCGTATTTTCGCAACCAACCAGTAGAGGTAATCATCGACACCGGCGCAGCGTGCTCTATGATCGGTGGTGCCTTCGCTGACAAATACAACATTGTCGAAGACGCGCCAGCACTGTTCGCTATGACCGGCATTCATGGTAGCATCAAACGTCCACGCGGTATGGTGCACGCACTACCCATACGGATCGCGAGTTTGGACACTACCGTGGACGCCCATATCGTAGACGACGGGCCCTATTCTTTCATACTGGGCGTCGAATGGTTAACAGCGTACGCGGCAGAAATTGTATTGGCCAAGAACCATCTGTACTTACACTATTACGGCAAGAAGTATACAGCGCTCGTGTGGTCAACTAACCAGGAAGCGAATATCGCGCGTCAACAACTACACCTGGAATGTGAGGACGGTATGGCCGAGGAGAAGAAGGAACCCCAAGCTATCGAAGCGTTCCATACGGTCAAGAGTTACGACGAAGTAATCATTCCAGCTGGATCATACATCATGTGGAAACCAAAGGAGCGTACACAGATGGAGGGACACGTCATACTCGAACCAGAACACGAACGTTTGATCGAATACGGTGTCGCAGCGATCCCTGGTTATGGTCCTGCCAGCTCAGCAGCCGTGTGTCTTATCAACACCAAGAAGCAACCGCTGGTCTTACCTACAGGACTCGAACTTGCGAAACTCAGTCAATCGACGCACAAGGTACTCCCCATCAAAACGTGGACCGACTTGACGCAGGTATCGTTAGAATGCAAGGAGTCGTTTACTACAGACACCGGGAAGGTACCGCCAATTACCAAGGTTAAACGAGAGGAATTGGACGTTATCGTGAACAAGGAACTGGAACCCGCTAAGCGAGAGCGTCTATTAGATCTGCTAGAGGAACGCGCTCACTTATTCGCCAGAGATTCATATGAATTCGGCCATTGCACGATCGCTCAACATAGGATCGACACAGGCGACGCTCAACCTGTCCAACTACGACCATACCGTTACCCGCCGAAAGACAACGAGTACATCGCGCAAGAAGTGGAGAAGATGCTGGTACAAGGAGTGATCGAAAAGGCAAACGGACCATGGGCGTTTCCGGTGGTGCTAGTGAAGAAGAAAGATGGTACTAGACGGTTTTGCATCGATTATCGCAAATTAAATACCCTCACGAGGAAGGACACTTACCCCCTCCCACGAATCGATGAAATCTTTGACGCGCTTAACGGAGCCCAATGGTTTTCGTCACTGGATCTGGCGTCTGGTTATTGGCAACTGGAAGTAGCACCAGCCGACAGAGACAAAACGACCTTCGTCACACGTCAAGGCACTTACCGATTCAAGCGATTACCATACGGGTTAGTGGGTTCACCAGCGTTCTTCCAACGGGCCATGAATGATATCTACTCCGGACTACTATGGGTATCAGTATTTGTATATCTGGACGACATTCAAGTTTTCAGCCGCACCTTTGGAGATCATCTACAACATTTAGAGTTAGCCTTCGACAGATTGGATAAAGCAGGACTCAAGTTGAAACTTCCCAAATGTGCGATCGGTCATCAAGAACTCGAGTTCCTAGGGTTTAAGACAGGTAAAGATGGACTGGCTCCCGATCCAAAGAAGATAGAGAAGATGCTCAAATGTCCCCCGCCTCGAGACATTGCCGAGTTGCGCTCGTTCCACGGTCTGACGTCGTACTATCGCCGGTTTATCAAGAACTTCGCCGCCATCACTGAACCCTTACGGCAACTGTTCAAGAAGGATACGACGTACGAATGGACGCCCAAGCAGCAGGACGCGTTCGAATTGCTCAAGACGAAGTTAGCGACTGCACCTATACTGAAGTATCCAGAATTCAACCAACCTTTCGTAATAGAAACGGATGCTTCACTAGACGGGTTAGGCGCGGTACTCTCCCAGCATAATCTCAACAATCACTTACAACCAGTCGCCTACGCTAGCCGATCCACGTCTAAAGAAGAACGTAACCTGTCGGCCACGGAACTGGAAGCGACCGCTGTTATATGGGCGCTCGAACAATTCCGACACTACATCCTCTACAACCCGATCACTGTTCGTACGGACCATCAAGCGCTCCCTTACATCATGAAGAACAAGTCCCTCAACCGCAAGTTGGCACGATGGGCCCTAGAA